AGGGTTTTAGGGTTTTAGGGTCTGGGGATCAGTATCCCTCTTCGCAGCCTCTATAGTACCGAATACTAACCCGGAAGCCTGAATATCCGATCACATATGAGAGAACATGGGGAATCGGGAATAGCATTGCTAATCATTGAGGCCCCCTGTAACCCGACCCCAAGAAGCAGGAAGACTCTCAGGGAGGGGAGGGACCGGGAGGAGCACTGGAAGCAGCTAAGCCTGACATTTCAGTGCCTTTAAAGATCTGCCGATAAGACTCGCGCAGAACATCTTCTCTGGGAGTCCTTCCACAACGCAGACGACGCGTTCTTACAAGTAGAGCACACTGATAGAGGTGATGCTTACACTGGACAGACTGAGCTTCGTGAGAACAACGTATTTGCCACCACGAGAAAGAGGTTCTGCTTTCGTGGGTGTTAGTGGCACTCGTAGTGGCGGCGGTAGTGGCAGTAGCTGTGGTAGTCACAAGTGAAAGAGGTAACGTTTGTGGTAGTTGTTGTAGTAGTAGTCGTGGTAGTTGTCGTATTAGTAGGAAGTGCAGCAGTATAGCAGCAGTAGCAGCAGTAGCTGCACTGGCAGCAAATGCCGTCGTCGTCGTCGTCGTCGTCGTCGTGCTACTAAGTTTCCCTGCATGAGTCTTGCCCTCGCAAGGCTTCTAGTCTAGTTCAGTACTCGTAGTGTTGAGTCATCGGACCTTTAGACGACGAGGCTGCTGCTCCGCTGAATAGTCCTACCTGTAGATGTAAGGTGAGAATGCAAGCCGAGACGAGCTGTAGTATCATTCTCGCTTTGTGCAACCTTGATGGTGCAGTCCTTTGCCTTACGTCTTGTCATACCGGTCTTTATGACAGCATCTTTGCACGAATCAAAACCAGAATGATACCAGTGGTCTCACGATGACGACAAAGACTAAAATGAGGTTGATTTGCTAGGGCGACGACGATGAGGATAAGCACGGCGATGGCAATTGCGACGATTATAATGAGAAGAGGATGATGGTACTAACGCTAGTGTGTGGCGCGTGCCGAAGCATTGGGCAAGTGTGTAGCTGCGCTCTCTTTGGCTCTCCTGGGTCCTCGGTCTGAGCGAAAGGCGCCCGAAGTCTTCGCGGGTCGGCTGGCCTTCCGCGCGGGCGAGGACTGCAGTTGGAAGGTTGTGTTCTTCTGGGGCTGAGCGGTTTGGTGGATGCTCTTTCCGTGGCTACTGCTCCCAGGCATGTTATCGATGTTACCTGAACTGTCACTTCGACGTAGTCATCGCAGATGGTGGTTCGATCATGGCGAAAGTCGTGATGCTGGATTGCCATGCTGTTGCTGACGCTTACCTTGATGATTTCGCTGCTGCTGCTGACGTGACTGTCGCGGTTGCATCGTTGTGGTGGCTCCTTCAGGGCTTGGCGAGATAAGAAGAAGAAGAATACAATTTCCACCCCGCAAGCCAGAAGCTAGAATCGAGGTCCTGCATTAGACCGCTTCTTTCGCAGGATTGCTTTGCCGCGCTCGTCCGTGGCTACAACACGCAACTGCAATCCGAATGGGGACATCTTGGCAACTCGGAGAGCATGACTTGCTGACTGATGGATGCCTCCGCCGGAATCTTTCGGGGCGTTTGGCGAAGGGGTCGTGTCCTACGCACTCTCGGCCAGCTCAGGCTCTGAGCCCTTTTCCCCTCACTGAGGCAACTGGCTCTTGGATGGCCTTGACGTGGGACTTCCGAGTGGCAGATATTGCGACCTCGGATCGCTGCCAACGCAGCGGGGATGGGACCGCAAAAGGTGTCCTCGGCAAGTAGTCATCGGAACGGACGGCAGGACGGGGGTGGGATTGCGAATGCAGTTTCGATAGTGCTGCATCTGAGAGGTAAAAAGTGCCGGTCCGTCGCATGACTTGTGGTACGTTATGCAGGATTCTGAGCGGCATCGTGCTGGAAGGTGATCTTCTGGCGATTCATGTGGGAGGCAGGATGTCTTGAGGAGAATCGGCGGACGGCTTCCGGTTTGAATGTGGCATCGTCCGTAGAGTAGTGTCTGCTGCTGTACATATGAAGCAATT